TAAAGAATTAAATATAGAAAATGAATTTTTAATTATATGTATTTATTCTGTAGTTTAGGATTATAAATCAGATTATCTTTATGAACCAAATATTTTTAGCCTCTGTAAATAGAAAAAGAGTAAATGTGGTGTTTTCTATTAATTTTAGCCTGTTCCCAGAACGTTGGTATCTATACTAGAATGCCTGATTATTGCTCATTCAGTTGGAGTGGAAAGTCTTTTTGCTGACTGCATGAAGTAAGTTATCTTAAGTAGTGCTGATGCTATTAATTTAGGGATTTTGATTTTGCATTCTTCTAATTTTGTGGACAATTTTAGAGTTGGCCTATTTCCTTGGGCACAATGTAAGTAGCTTAATGCTTAACTAGTTCCACCAACTGAGTAGAAGTATTGATTTATATATTATTCAAGATACTTGGGATCAATTTTATTTTAGCTGAACCATGGTTAGTTATGTTAAAATCTGTGCACATAACCTAACATGGGCTTAAAATATGTGTTTACAGAAAAGGGATTATAGTTAAGTCCATCTTAGCGCTCATAAAATTAACAGTCAAAACATACATATGTACAATTTATGTAACTGAAAACCAAAATATTATTGACTATTATAATGAAAAATACTTTCATTCCTCTAACTTGGGATTCTTTGATTTTAACAGGTGGATTGTAAAGCATTTTGCAAGGTTTTGGTCTGAAAGAAGCTTTGCAAATGTACCCCCTGAGATTCAGAAAAGCTGTCTTAATATGTTGATTCAGTCCTTAGTAAGTACAACCTAAATAACCATTTCGTGTGTATGTTATCAAAAAGTTTATTCAATTTTGTATAGTACTTTCAGTGATGTAAACATAAATGTAGAAAGATGAAAGAACCAATTTCAGATAATCTAGAACCAATTCGGAGAGATGGAGCTTTATTCATCACCTCAGCAATATTGACTTCCACTCACCACGGAGAATCTGGGTACAACAGTGAACTTCTTAACAGAACTGTTCTTTCAGGGGATCAGCCATCTACCTGGTAGCAGGTTGATTACAGTGGATCACTTCCATCATGGAAGAGGCAGTGCTTTGTTCTCACTGGAATAGACATTTGCTCTGGACATGGACTTACCTCCCTTGCTCAGAATGTTTCTGCTAAAACCACTGTCCATGAACTTAAAGAATGCCTTATCCATCATCGTTACATTCTCCACAGCATCACTTCTGATTAACAAACTCATTTAACAGCAATTGAAGTGTGGTGATAGGCTCATGCTCATGGAATTCTTGGTTTTACAAGGTTCCCCATCATTCTGGAGCAGCTGGCTTGAATGGAGAAATGGCCTGTTGAAGACTCAGTTACAGTGCCAGCTAGGTGGCAATGCCTTGTGGGGTTGGAACAGTGTCTTCTAGGATTCAATATATGCTCTAAATCAGATTTCGATTTATGGTGCTATTTCTCCCATAGATCTAGAAATCAAGTTGTGGAAATGGGAGTAGCTCAATGACACAATTATTCCTTGTGATCCACTAACAAATTTTTTGTGTCCTTTCCCTGCAACTTTAGGCTCTGTTGATGTAGAAGTCTTAGTTCCAAAGAGAACAATGCTTCCCCCTGGGGACACAAATAATGATTCTATTGAACTTGAAGTTGAGACTGCCTTCCTTTGGCCACTTTGTACACCCACAAGCAAAGAAGGGAAATAACTGATAGATCGAACTTGACTGTCAAGGGGAAATTGGGTTGCTACTATACAATATGGGTAAGGAAGACTACATCTGGAATGCAGTACACCCAGGCTATATGAGTAAAATCAATAGAAAGCAGTAACAACCCAATTTAGGCAGTGCTGATAATTCTTCAGGAATGAAAGTCTGAACCACCCTACCAGATAAGGAACCATGAACAGCAGAGGTACTTGCTGAGGACAAAGGAGGGAATATGAAGTGGGCAGTGAAAGAAGGTAATTATAAATAATAGCTACAACCATGTGACTAGTTACAGAAATGAGCACTGCAATAGTTATGATATAAACATATTCATATCCCTTTTTTACATGAATGTTTGTCTACGAATTAACCAAACAGCTTTGGGTTTTTCTCCATTGTCTCATCCCCTTGCCATCTAATGTGAAGACATGTTGTTAATAATAGCAGTTTATATGTCCACATTTAAGTTACTATTAATAGATATAAAAGAGAATTGTGAATCTATTTGAGAAAGAATGAACATCACCCAAAGACAAAAAAAGGAACTTTGTATCCTCTCTTTTGGGAAAAGAGTTGTTGTATGGGGGATAGTTGTATTATGTTAGGTGGAAGCATGACTGTTATTGTCTCCACCTGGAAACTAAGTATGTTTTAAGAGGTGTATGTGGTTGCCAAGTTGGCAAGGGGTTGATTATAGTGGCTTTGTAACATGTTAGCTTGGCTATGGTGCACTATGCTGCCCAGAATTTCCTTCTCTGTTTCCAGTTAGAGTGGCCACAAGAGATAATTTGGCATGAGATTTGGAGGATGGAAGTGAAAGAACAGCTATTTTTTGGTTTTTACACTAGGAAGGTTAGGGCAGGTGCATTTAGACTCACATGTTGTTGCTTATTTACTGGCTAACCGTAGCTAGACCTACAACTGTTCTGCCTTTCCATGTATCCTCCTTCAATTTCTCTAACCCGTGGGCCAGGTATGTGTCTAGCACCATAATGAAAAAAGTGCCAGCATCTCCTATGCGATAGCCATTTCACCGGTTGGAGGTGTTGAGACTGATGTGGGTTCCAGCCAGTGTTCTTGGTGTCAGCTTGTCCTTGCTCTCCCCACTTTTACATCCATCTTCCTTTCTCAACTGCTTGCCCTGTGAAGTTCAGACTACATCATCAGACACAAAGCCTATTTAACGAGCTTCCACAATTGTGTAAGATCAAATCCCTGTAACAAATTTCTTTATACAATAAGTCCTCACTTAACGTCATTGATTGGTTCTTGGAAACTGCGAGATTAAGTGAAACAACATATAACTAAACAATTTTACCACAGCTAATTGTGAAAAACAAGAGTTAAGTTCCTATGGCATATTTCTGGGCATTACTAAATTTCTAAATAAAGACTCAAAACACTTCGAATATTGAACATTGAAATAAATGTGAGCTATACATACATTTAAGAAAGATTAATAAAAATTGTAAAGTAATTATTTACCCAATTTTGGGGGAATCAGTGAGTGACGACAATAGTGGTGGTGGGTTAAATCAAGGAATAAATGTTTGCAAAGCAAAAATTGTAAGGAACGCCTCCTACCACTACACAGTTCAAAAACCATCATAAGTATGGTAGGCTAACTGCTTTTGTTCTGCGTTGTTTATTGTCATGTATTTGTATGATGGTTGTATAAGTTATGAATTTCTATAATAATTCATATTCATTCATTAATTTTCTAACTCACTTATTCCAGTGGATAGTTGTGGGTGGCTGAAGCCTATCCCAGCAGCTAAGGGCCCAAGACTGAAACTAACCCTGGACAGGATGCCATTCCATTGCAGGGCACACTCACACACACACCCACACTCGCTCATACTGAGACAATTTAGACACACCAGTTCACCTCATGTGCACGTCTTTGGGATGTAGGAGGAAACTGGAATACTCTCATAGACATGGGGAAAATATGCAAACTCCACACAGACAGTGGCCTTGGCCGACAAGCAACTGTTTTTCTCATCAGTGTCACAACCAAACAATGTTGAACAAAACGACATTATCTGAGGACCTGCTGTGTATATATATATACACTTCCTATTAGTCCTGTTTCTCCGATGGAACCCTGAATGGTACATCAGCCTGGGTTACCTGGAAGATAGATCTAAATCTAACTGGTAATTAAGTGTAGGACATCAGCTGATGAGATACCACTACAAAAAGTAAACCTAAATCTCGGTTTACTCTAATGAAGGACTTTGTAGTTTTGTTGCTTACTATTTTACATTAGTTTTCATGATCCGTAAGTAATTAAAAAACTATTGGCCCCACTACAATTCAGTTCAATAGAAGCAGAAGCATAATTTACTACTAGTAGTAGTACCAGTATTTAGTGGAATTTTTCTTAGAGCTTTACAGTTCAAAAAATACTTTTTATTTTTTGTGAAATGAATTATAAGACAGATACTATTATCTCCATTTCACATGAGAAAAGAGAACTAAGGAGGTGCTTTATTCAAGTTCACAGTGATAATAAATGACAAAGCCAGGTCTTAAAACCTATTGCTACCATTCAAGATAATATGGTAAGTGCTCAATGTGAGCAAAGTTTGTTTGTTTGTTTGTTGGTTTGTTTGTTTTTTAGGATAAGAAGCAGTCCTTATCAGGGTCTTCCACCACCTCTCCCTCATCTTCCTTCTTGAAGTTTAGGGAGTTTTCAGCCATTGTTTCTTTTTTCCTTTTTTCTTTTTCTTTTGTTTTCTTTTTGGTTTGTTTGTTTGTTTTTCCTGAACTTCTGTGGTAGGTAGAACCATTATTTCTTTAAATAATTTTTCTGACTCGTTTTCTCTATCTTCTCCTTTGGAACCTCAATAATATATATTTGGTCCACACAGTGGTGTCTCATAAGTCCCTTATACTTTCTTCATTTTCTCATTCTTTTTGCTTTTTGCTCCTCTGTCTGAATAATTTCTGATGACCTGTCTTTGAGTTTGGTGACCCTTTCTTCTATTTGATCTACTCTGCTGTTGAGCCTCTCTGGTGCAATTTTCATTTCAATAATTATATTCTTCAGCTACATCATTTCTGTTTGGTTCCTTTTTAATATTTTCTGTTTCTTTGCTGAAACTATTACTTTGCCTTTCATTGTTTTCCTGACCTTAGAAAGCATCTTTATGATGGTTGTTTTGAATTCTCTTCCAGGTAAATCACATACCTCCATTTCATTTGGTTTCTGGAGATTTATCTTGTTCCTTTGTTTGGAACATATTTCCTTGTTTTTTTTCATTGTCCTTGAATGTGTATTAGTCTTCACATTAGACAAAATAGCCACCTCTCCCAGTTTTTTTGGACTGGCCTTGTATAGGAGAAGACCTTTACTTATCAGCTCAGCCAGAGATTCTGGGGGCCTTTCACATCTTCTTGTTCATCCAATTTGTTTTCTTTGCTCTTAGCAGCTCCCAGGCATCTGGAGTATGCTGGGTCCCATGATTGCTTTGAGTCAAGCAAAACTGAAGCTGGTTCCTTTGGTAGCCCCCAGAAAAGCTGAATCATTGGACACTCTGTCCAACTCCTTTCCTCCCCAAGAAGAAGGTGGGACTTGGGGTTTTTCAACTGTTTACTCTTCATTGAGTCAGGGGGTAGGGCTGTGGTGACTAGTTACATGCTACATCATTTACCATCTGTGTTCTCACTGGCCCCTGGGTGGCTAGGGCATGCCAGGTCCCATTTCAATTCTTTCTTTCCCCAGGGAGAAGTTGGGAGCTAAGGTTTTTTGTCCACTTACTCTGTGCTAAGCCAGAGTGAGAAACCATGCTGACTCCCAGCCCAAACCACCATCTTTGTTCTTACTAGCCTGCTGGTGGCTAGATTTTTCTGGGTCTTGACAGTGCTCTGAGATAAGCAAGACAAAGCCAGTCCTGTGGGAAACCCCCAGAAAAGTTAGGGTATTAGGCTTGCAAACTAACTCTCCCTACTGAGGGAGAAGCTGGGAATAAGTATTTTTTCATCCATTTGCTCTGTGCTGAGCTGTGGGAAGAGAATATGATGACTGCCAGTTTAAACCACCATCTCTGTTCTCCCACAGATGGCTAGAGTTTGCCAGGTCCTATCAGTACTCCAAGACTAGAATACAGAAGCCAGTCATCT